ATTGGACAAAAACGGAATGAGCGCCTACTCTGTGTCCTAGTTTTCAAACTGGCAGGAACCTAAAGCCTAACAAAACGGGAACAAGGGCCTACTCTGGGTCCTAGTTACCCTAAACTCTCAACTCTAAACCCTAAACCCTAAACCCTGAGCCCTAAACCCTAAACCCTAAACCCTAAACCCTGGGGCTACTTTGGAAGATCCGGGTGAGCCGCGGCTCCTCGAACAGATTCGGCGCGGGCGCTCGCGAAGCAGGCTCCTGGAATGGCCAAGGACTCGTCATGGGTGTTGCTTAGGGTTTAGGGTTTAGGGTTTAGGGTTTAGGGTTTAGGGTTTAGGGTTTAGGGTTTAGGGTTTAGGGTTTAGGGTTTAAGGTTTAGGGTTTAGGGTTTAGGGTTTAGGGTTTAGGGTTTAGGTTTAGGGTTTAGGGTTTAGGGTTCAGGTGCTGGGGTGCGGTTTTCGGGTTGGTGCTTATAGGGGTGCGCAGATGAGTACATGAATACGAGGAATTACACATGGCCACTTTTCAAAACGTTGGCCCCTTTTGGGTGTTACTCTTATAAGGTGGCCCCAAGTATTCGGGTACCCCAAAAACTTGCTTCTCCAATAACCAAGGGAAAAAGGTAAAATTGAATTATTCCTAGTAAACTCGGTAGCCCAGTAACCATATTATAATAAGGGCACCCTTTTTTGGGTTGGCTATTTTAGAGGGGAAGCCATAACCGAAAAAGATGGCAAAAGGGTACCACAGGGACACCAAGTAAATAAGGAAGCCCAAAAAGTTTAAAGCTCAGCTGTTGGAGAAGTTAGAAAAAGGAGGTTTTGAGGTGCTACAGAGCTGCAGATGATGTTAGTAGCAGCTCAAGACCGTTTACACGCTAAGGGATTAGGGTTTAGGGTTTAGGTTTTGTGAGAGCACAGGAACTGCCGAAGAGGAGAAGTGGAAGGAACGAGGGAAGGGAGGAAGGAAGATAGCGAAGGGCGAAGCCATGAACCTGGCTTTTCGAATAAACATGCATTGCGCACGCGAATGTGCAAGGAGGGGTCTCAGGAATTCCCAAAATACATATTCTTTGGGTCTCAGGGGCTTTCGTTTGGGTGCGGTTGCTGTGCATAGGAACATGCTTTCTCCATGTGCAACCGGCGCGTCGCGCCTACCTCCAGTGTGCGACGTGTGCACTGTTCAACCAGATGTCTCGAACAATGCCCTTTTTGGCACGACTTCCTAAACCCTGAACTTGTAGACCCACCGCGCAGGGAGGGTCACGCCCCTACCCCCCCCTCCCCTCCCCCCCCGCCAGCGAAAAGTAGAGTTCTGAGGGTAGATGGACTATAACTCGAATTACCTAGAATTCCCATTCTACTTAGAAATTTCATGGACTATAATAGACTATAACTCGAACTACCTATAGAATTCCCATTCCACTCAGAAATTTCTGGGGCAAAAAAAACCCAAGCCCTCAGGCACCCTCAGTCCCCCGCAGCCGGCGCTGATATATGACGTGCGAGTCCGGGGATCCTTAAAGCCCCTAAACCCTAAACCCTAAAGCCGAAAGCCTAAACCCTAAAGCCTAAAGCCTAAAGCCTCTAAAGCCTAAGGCCTAAAGCCTAAGGCCTAAAGCCTAAACCCTAACCCCCAAACCCTAAACACTAAAGCCTAAAGGCATCCTCCCAATTGAGCCCAAAAAAAGCCATCCTCCTAAACCCTTCAAGGCATCCTAAGCCCTAAAGGCAGCAGGTCAAGGGACTAAAGGAGGGTTTAGGGTTTAGGGTTTAGGGTTTAGGGTTTAGGGTTTACGATTTAGGGTTTAGGGACCCTTATAAGGGTTAGGTATAGGGACTACAAAAGGTGTATATACGGGTTCCATAGGGGCTGTTGTTTTTTTAAGGTGTGGCTCGGACGCTTTTTTTTCTTTAAGGTGCGGCTCAGCTTGGCTTCGCAAATACTGTAAATAGCAGCATTTCTGCGTTTAGAGAGGCTGCAAATACTGTAAATAGCAGCATTTCTGCGTTGTCAGAGGCTTCAAATACTTCAAATGGCAGCATTTCTGCGTTGTCAGAGGCTTCAAATACTGTAAATAGCAGCATTTCTGCGTTGTCAGAGGCTTCAAATACTGTAAATAGCAGTATTTCTGCGTTTTCAGAGGTTGGATATAGATCATATGCTCTTATATAAGCATAAATATATGTATATATATATATATATATATATACAATTATTTATTTATTTTTTATTTATTATTATGTAAATTGTATATGATAATATGCTATTTAGTATTGTATATATATATATATGGTCGCCCCCCCCCCCCCCCAAGATCCACCCCTAAGGTTTTTCATACTCGTCTCACTCCATGTCTATACTCTTTGTTATACATGCAGATGCCGAAAACGCTGCAAATACCGAGGGTTTTCCTCTTAAAACGATAGTTTCAGACTTCTTTGTTGCAACGATGCGTACATGCAGATGCCAGAAATGGACTACCAGGATCCGGTGGTTGGTTTCTGGTGTTACCGAGTTCTTATGGCGATGTGTGCGTGTGTGTGTGAGTATGTGTGTGTGTGTGTGTGTGTGGTGTATGTGTGTCTGCGATGTGCGAATATGGCCTGAAACCCATGAAATAGGGACAGTACAGCACTTTCGCCTCTTCGGACTGCAAAAGTGCTGTACTGTCCCTATTTTTTGCTTGCAGGTACCAATAAAGTGCTGTACTGTCCCTAAAAAACCTAAAAAAACCAATCTTTCCAGCACGGAGCCCCCGGTAGTTCCCAAAAGATTGGTTTTTTAGGTTTTTTAGGGACAGTACGGCACTTTATTGGTACCTGGAAGCAAAAAATAGGGACAGTACAGCACTTTCGCCTCTTCGGACTGCAGAAGTGCTGTACTGTCCCTATTTTTTGCTTGCCTGGAGACGAGAAAATAGGGACAGTACAGCACTTTCGCCTCTTCGGACTGCAAAAGTGCTGTACTGTCCCTATTTTTTTGCTTGCCTGGAGACGAGAAAATAGGGACAGTACAGCACTTTCGCCTCTTCGGACTGCAAAAGTGCTGTACTGTCCCTATTTTTTGCTTGCAGGTACCAATAAAGTGCTGTACTGTCCCTAAAAACCTAAAAAACCAATCTCTCCAGCACTACCAGCCCTGGAGCCCGGTAGTTCCCAAAAGATTGGTTTTTTAGGTTTTTTAGGGACAGTACGGCACTTTATTGGTACCTGGAAGCAAAAAATAGGGACAGTACAGCACTTTCGCCTCTGGAGACTGCAGAAGTGCTGCACTGTCCCTATTTTTTGCTTGCCTGGAGACGAGAAAATAGGGACAGTACAGCACTTTCGCCTCTGCGGACTGCAAAAGTGCTGTACTGTCCCTATTTTGGCCTGCAGATAGTCAACGGGTGGCTATGAAGGGAGGCTGAGGCTGGAAGCTGCGGCAGAGTGCTTCACGCGAGTGATGTTTTGCAGTATTGCACATGCAAACAACACGCAAGGTCCTTGCTGTTTGCGTTCGCGACGAGACGTGCGATGAGAGCGCTCAAAATCATCGCAAGGGAGCGGTCTTTCAGTTGATCTGAAAGAGAGAGTGGATCATTCGACCTGTGGCCTTCCACATGTTCGAATTGCAGTTCCAGTACGTAAACTGGGCCGACCGGATCTTCCGGACGAGTTGCTGGCTACCTGGGACTCGGGATGAGTTCTTTAAGACGGTCCTCAAAGTGCCCCAGAAACGGTCAATGACTTGCGTCCCGCTTTTCACCTTCAGCCGTCGGCGGTCTGGAAGTTTGATGGTGTAAACCTTCTTTTTCTTGTGGACGACGTTGCAATGCTTCACTTGCGGGATCTTGAGAGTGTAGGCACGGGCGCCGTCGCTGTGCAAGACCACCTTGCGGTTGGCGAGGTGTTTTTTAGCAATAACAGCCCAGTCCACCTTCTTGATTGGGCCAGGACCCGGCGCCCGCTTTGTGGTGAGCTTCGGGTTCAAGCGAAACAAGCACAACGACGATGGACAGCCTCTCTGAACTAGTCCGCCCCACTGTTCCCACTTCGTGTTGCGTGGGCCTAAGGACTCGTCCGTGAGCTTGCCCAGATCGACTTCATCTACCTCTACATCCTCCCAATTGCCACCGTAGGTGATCTTCTTCTCCTGCTGGACGACGTACTGAGCACGGGCGACGTCTAGGCTGGTGTAGATGCGCTCCACGGGCTTGTGGTCCATGTCAAGGATCAAGTGGGTAGACTGGCAGGGGACATTGGCTGTTGCACAATACAGCGCTGCAGCCTGTTTGCCAAGCGACGTTGACGAGTTCCCAGCAGACATGAAGAAGACGGGATGGTAGTCGTGCGGCTGCAAGAACTTGTGGCAGTGCTTGTGATTGCATCGGTAGGCCCAGATCTTCTTAGCCTTGACGTAGTTGAGTGTCCCGAGAACGCCTTTGGCACAGCGAGGGCACTGGCGACCCTGCCAGCTGGGGCAAGATTTTGTCCTTCTGAAGGTGTGTGATCAGTCGGCGGCCTTTCAGTGACATGAGGTGCTGTATGGACTCCCCCCATCGCTGGCGAAACCCTTTGTTTTTGGCCGATAGGATGCCGTGGCGAACTTTTGGCACGGGAACATAGTTCTTGGAAGCGGGGCGTCGCTGGACGCGATGCTTTCCTCGCTTGGGAGCAGGGAAAAGAGGCTTTGCCTTCATGGCTTTCATGACCGCCTTGGGCATGATGACAAGAGTTCTTGTGAAACGGTTCCTTGATGCTGCAAGGCTACTTGACAAATTGCCACCAAATCAACACGGAGAGAAGGCAAGGGACGTGTGTTGCACGCAACATGTTTGGCATCAGAAGTGTGGGCGTTTTGAGCCTGCGATCGAGCTTGTGGTGAGAAGTAGCCTGTGAACAAAACAGCTACTCTTTGGATGCCGGGACTCAAAACTAGGCACGTAGCATAGCTATTGTGCGAACTGCGATCAGTAGGACTCAGTAGGAGAGGGCTGCAGTCATCGTGCTCGTGAGGCTCACTCTGACGGCATGTTGTCCACGAAGTCATCGAGCTGTTGTGAGAAGGTCCTGCCGAGGTTCTCTGCTTCAAGATCGTGTTCGTCCGGAAGATTCTTCATTGGATCCTCTTGAGAAGTGTTGGAGGCAACATCCATCTCATCATTCGTGAAGTCCACTGCAGAAGTTCCTGCCTCTGCATGTGTGTTTGGCGACGGCAAGAATCCATCAGCGGTGGAATCCGGATGGGGCGGGGACTGCTTGATCTCGGCGTGGAGAGGCGACGACGTCTGTTTCGTGTCCTCCTTCTCTGATGAGCTGGAGAGATTGATTTGCAACGTGCGGCTGCCGAGTTTCTTCTTGAAGGCGATGGACTTCTGCAAGGCGTCCGTGGGCTCTTGCTTCACACGCACCTCATACAAGACGGAAGAAGCGTTTTTTAAATGTTTGGCGTAAGCTGGTTTAGGCTGTGATGTGGCATGTCATAGGCACAGGTTATGTTTTGAAGCTGTTCATGTTTCGACGAGCCCTAAACCCTCCCTTTAGACTGAGCAAGGGGCCGGCATGAAAGTGTCGGTAGAAGACGACGACCTTACCGTGTCCTTGTCCTTTGCCACGAACGATGCTGCAGATGCGGTTGTTGGTGCAGCATTGGAAGATGCGAGCAGGGAGCTGGACGATTTCACAGACCGGAGCTTCTTTGTGGGTGGCTGAGTTGACTCAGGGATGTCCTCGAAGTAGTGAGTGGTACTGCCAGAAATCCCTGCCAAATCAGGGCGAACCTCATTGAGGTACTTCTTCCCGGTGGAGAATTCTTTGCCTGTCACCGTGTAGCAGAGGGGCACTTCTTCTCCGTCGAGGGCCGCCTGAAGAAGATTCAAACTCCACTGCATGTCCTCCGCATGATTTGGTGGGAGTTGTTGCAGGTGGCCCTTCAGGTAAGCGGACAGTGTAGGCCTTGCTGTGAGAGAGACTACCCCAAAATCTTTGTCGGGCCAGGCTACACGCTTGATGGGGTCGCGGTGTGTGCCGGGCGAGCGAACATAGATGCCGATGTCAGTGAAGACGATCATGACCGAGCGTTTGAAGACACCCATCAAGTCTTCCTCGTCAAAGTCCTTGTGGAAAGAGGGCCTAACAAGCTTGTAGAAGACTTCAAAGGACACCGTGTCGCTGTTTGTTTGGGGCGGCAAGGCGGGCTCAGCTGATCGGTCGTAGGGGTTGGAGCAGACGACGAAAAGCTGGTTCTTCTCGTACGAAGAAGCGTTCCAGCGGGCCATGGTCTTCCTGTCAAAGCCTGTCACTTCTGTGACAGCTTTGACCGAGGCCGGAGACTCCAAATTGAAATTGCCATCGTCGAAGACTCTTGGCTTTGTTGTACGGCCTCTCTCCTTTCGGAAATAGTCCAGGTGGTTGCAGCTTTGGAATGATGGCTTCTCATGTTCACGACCCTTCTGAAGGAGCCAGAATGCAGAAGCCAAGTTCGCCAGAGTGTAGGCCGTCGGGCTCTTGCCGACCTCTGACTTGCCAATCAGAATGACTGCGTGCTCCAGGATGCGAGGCAAGATGGGTGCGAAGATTGTGTTGAGGGCCCACGGGGTAAAGCTCTTCAGGGTGAGGGGCCAATCTTGGATAGCGTTTGCCTGCGAGCCTTTGTCAGCAAGGCAGCGCAGGAACTCCTTGATGGTTCCCTTGTCCCATTTGAAAAGTGGCCCATTGGGATCATTCACCTGCTCTTCAGTCCAAGAAGTGAATTGACCGTCACTGTTCTCTTCCGGCCCTGCTTCACGGATGAAGGCAAACCCCTTTCGAATGTCCTCTGTCTCTTTCACCGGTTTGGTGGAGCTACCAGCTGGAATCAGCTTTTTCTCGGCACTGCTTGCAATAGTCGATCTCGAGGGCCCTCCCTGTGCACATGCTGCGGATAGTGCTGCGCAGCACTTTTGACCCTTCAGCGAACTTAATGTGCTTGACGATATCCCACTTGTTTTCTCCTTTGGAAACGATGAAAACCTGCATGTCGTAGGGCGTTTCGTTTTGACCGTTCATACGGATGGGATGTGGGAGATCACTGTAGCGCTGTTGGAAAAACAACTCTTCGATCTTGTTGAAATCCAACTCACCCTCCCAGTTCATGAGTACATCCAGGAACTGCACCTTCTTCTTTATCTCGTCCGTGATCTCATCCTTGGCCGGAAGATCTCCGACCGTGATGCAGCCCGGCTCTTTGTGTACAATGAGGGGCTTCTCCAGGCGAACAAGTTTGAGGCCGTCAGTGTGGGAGATTGCCTCATCAAAGGTAATGGCACCGTCCAATGCATCATTGTGCAGGGACTGTGCCAGAGAAACTGGACGATGTGGAGCCCTGCTGGCCATTGCGGCGCAAAGTGTGGGGCCTAGGAAATCAAAAGACTTTGAGCGTCAAACAGAATGCTCGGAAAGGGCTGGCAGCTCTTGGAGCGCAAGCGATAACCAACTGTGAGAAGCAATGCTGAAACACGTTTTAGCACTGCAGAGGCTTACCGGTTGATGGCCATCTACTGAGGAGATTGGAAAGCGAGCTCGTGCTTTGGCAGTAGCCCGGGACAAGACAAGGCCTTAACAGCTACATGCCAAGTTCAGCTCTTTCCGCAGTCGTGAGAAGTCTCTCAGACACACTGTCCGGCCATGGAGTTACTTTGTACAAGACGCCGTCGTCGTTCTCAAAGACAGAACATCCTTGTTTGGGTACATTTTGTATTCAAAAAATAGCCCCATAGGTTGTGTACCAACATATATTCTCACTATATGTGGTATGCCTTTGCTGTAAACAAAGCCGCGTCTCCGTCACTTAACTTGCCGATCCGAAGTGGTGGCCGTGGTGCTCTGGGTACCGGGGTGGGCTTCTTTGCAAACTCATGGATGAGCAGCACTGCATCCGGACAGAGGTCCCATTTCAGTAGTTTTAAAGACACCGTGACCATAGCCCCAGCACAGTTACATCAACAGATGCGAGCCGAAACTCCCCGGCTCAATCACAGCAGCTCCCCAGACATTGCAGATTCCTGTGCTACTGCCTGCGTCTCAAGAGTTGGCTCCCAAAACCCCAAACCCCAAACCACAAACTCACGACCATACCCCTCGGCCCTCGGAGCTGCTAGCAGCCCACGGCGCACCTCGCGACAGGGAAAGGTGGATCTTGGGGGGGGGGGGGGGGGGGGGGGGGGGCGAGAAGCATATATATATATATATATATAAAATACACTATCTATCTATCTATCTATCTATCTATCTATCTATCTATATGTATATGTGTATATGTGTATATATGTATAGATGTATATATGTATATACGTATATATGTATATATGCATATATGTATATATGTATATATGTATATATGAATATATGTATATATGTATATATGTATATATGTATATATGTATGTGTACATGTATATGTATATTTGTAACAAACTATGTGCTTCGACATCATATCTGTATTGTGCAGGATGCATCCCACATTATATTATCATTATCATCATCAATATTAAATATTTCGATACACCGTACTTTTTGCTGCCCTTCTGGTCCCAGCTGACGCCTTTGATCTGCGACAGCCACGGTTTGAATCTGATGCTCTCGCCCATCTCTTCGGCCATTTTTTCAAGCGGGTCCCGAAAAGTGAGTTCAACTGATTGGGGTTTAGTGTTAACCCTAAACCCTAAACCCTTTGGGGTGTGATAGACATGATGACGCCTACATCGGGCTGCTAGAAGCTTCAGGGTGAACCTTTCACCTTAAGCTAAACGCAAAGCAAAACAAACCACTGAAAATCCTATTGGGGCAATGGGTTTAGGGTTTAGGATGACCCTAAACCCTAAACCCGAAACCCTAAACCCTAAACTTTGAGCCCTAGACTCTGCCGAGCGACCACGGGGACCACGGGACCAGGGGACCAGAGGACCAAGGGGACCACCAGCGGGAGGGGGGGGGGGGGAGAGAGCCACACCTTTAAAAAAAAAGGAGGCCCGAGCCACACCTTCTAAAAAAAAAAACCCTGGCCCGTTCTATAGGGGAATAAGATTAAGGGTCCCTTCCAGGGGTCCCTCCCTAAACCCCTAAACCCCTAAACCCTAAACCCTAAACCCTAAGCCCTAAACCCTAAACCCTAAACCCTGAACCCTAAACCCTAAACCCTTTATCCTTTATACACCTTAAGCCGGAGCCCCGGTCCATCTGGACCGGAGGTGCTTCGTCCACCGGCTCATCCTCGGGCCTGCGGGGCACAATGGAAGGCTGAAGAACACCGGAAGAAGGATTTAGGGTTTAGGGTTTAGGGTTTAGGGTTTAGGGCTTAGGGCTTAGGGTTTGGGATTTAGTGTTAGGGTGTAGGGTGATGTATAGCTGACGTTGTTTGCTTGGGCTCCTTGATTGCTTCCTAGACCCTAAACCCTAAACCCTGACCTCATGTTTTGAGCTTTAGGGTTACATGACTCTAAGCCTTCAACCCTCAACCCGCTCCATCCTACACCCGCAGGTACACCAGGGGTTTAACGGCTTGTAGTTCTTCTAGTGTGCCAAGTATTGCAGCGGAATTTAAGCCGGCATTCAAAGTTGGGAGCAACGAAACCCTAAACCCTAAACCCTAAACCCTAAAACCCCAAACCCTAAGCTCTAAGGATTCTCTGGGCGCATGACACGTCTTCCAACAGCTGCAGATTGGCCACCCGCTCGTCCTTGACCTCAAGGGATGTAGATTTCTAGTTTTACGGGGCTCCCCTCATTCTGAACACCCTAAACCCTAAACCCTAAACCCTAAACCCTAAACCCTAAACCCTAAACCCTAAACCCTTAACATGAAGTTTAAGACTTAAGGCTTACAACTGACAGCACCAAAAAGCCCTGGACCATGTATGCATTTACTGCCTTGGAAGTCAACAAGAAGATGTGTTGCTGCAAAGCAAGAAGGGCATTTGGGCCGCCAGGGTATGAACCTTGTACCCCTGCGCCGCCCGCTTCGTGGCCCCATGAGGCTTGGGGGCTATGAGGGTGACCCAAGCAATTGACGCTGGCTTACTTGGAGGTTCATGGTACTTACTAACCACTTATAACTGTACTTCTAACCCTACTTATAATGCCCCTAAAGGCCTTAGGGGTTATCCCAAGTATAAGTAGGGTTATTAGCCCAGTTATAAGTGGCTATTAAGTCCCATGAACCTCCAAGTAGGGTTTAGGTCCACCCTGAACCCTGCATCGTGTGCCCCCGCGGTTCCGTCTTCGTACATCACGGACACGGAGATTCGGACGCACGCCGCCCGCCTGCCAGAGAGGGAAGGATTTCTAGCGAAAAGGTTTTGGGTTGCCGGGTAACCTAAGATGTACAAAGGGTGCTCGTCTTGGTACCCTAATCATGGTAGCATTCGCGAGAAGTAGGGTTACGTCCTACAGCCCCGAACACTAAAGTCTAACCCCTGAAACGCTAAACCCTACAACCCAAACCCTAAAAAACACAAGCCCTGAAGCCCTGATACCCCAAGTCCTTGTGATCCTAAACCTCCTAAACCACCTAAACTTCTAGACCCCAAGCCCTACTGATAAGCAGCCCTTCGCCCTAATGAAACCGCCCAAAAGCCCCCCCCCCCCCTCACCACGCCTTAGATCTGATACCTTCACCAAACCCTACCCCAATGCCCCTGAGAAATACAGCTTCAATGACATTCAGGGTCCCTATATCGCTTAATTATGGTGGATCACTTTCCCTCAATGAAGGGTGTAGTGTGTGGGCTCTCTGAACCGTAAACCCTCCTAAGCCCTCCTAAGACCTCCTAAACCCTAAGCGTAAACCCCCACGTGGTAAAACCTAAACCATCCTAAACGCTAAACCCAAAACCCTAAACCACCCTAAACCACCCTAAACCCTAAACCCTAAACCCTAAACCCCGACGTGCGCGTCCATTGGACTCAGGCCGCCTGTTTACAAAACCCCTAAACCCTAAACCCTAACCCTAAACCCTAAACCCTAAATCCTAAACCCCAAACCCAGACGTGCGCGTCCATTGGACTCAGGCCGCCTGTTTACAAAACCCCTAAACCCTAAACCCTAAACCCTAAACCCTAAACCCTAAACCCTAAACCCTAAACCCTAAACCCTAAACCCTAAACCCTAAACCCTAAACCCTAAAGTGCGCGTCCATTGGACTCAGGCCGCCTGTTTACAAAACTCCTAAACCCTAAACCCTAAATCCTAAACCCTAAACCCCGAACCCAGCACCGGGGTACCCGGCGCCGGCTTCCCGAAGACCATGCCGGGGCGCCCATTGCACAGCACCCGGTCACCTTCGGGGCTCTTTGGGGGTTTAGGGCTTAGGGTTCACGGTTCAGGGTTCAGGGTTCAGAGTACAGGGCTAGGGGTTTCGGGGTTTGAGGATTTAGGGCTTGAGGGCTTGAGGGTTGAGGGTTTAGGGTTCTTAAGGGCTTTTCGGGGGTTGTAAGGCTTTTTGGGGCAGGATGTGGGCTTAGGTTTTAAGGGCGAAGGCCTTTGGGGTCTAGGAGGTTAAGATTTTTAGGCGTTTAGGGCTTGGGGGCCCTAAACCCCAAACCCCAAACCCCAAACCCCAAACCCTAAACCCTAAACCCTAAACGGGCTCTATACCTGCATCCGCCTCAGGCTAGAATAACAGCCTGAAGCCGCTCAGCCCGGAAAAGCAGCCCGAGTTTAGAATATCAGCCCGCATGAAGAATATTGGCCCGAAGGGGCTTTGCGCAAGAAGCTGCAGGTCGATTAGCTATCAAACTAATCACTTTGCTGTTTCGACATGATGGAACCATGTAGAGGCTTGACATGCAATCGAAGCTTCCAGCAAATGAGCACCTACTCAATAAGCATAATATTCAGCCGTTCAAGCAGCGCAGAAAACTTTGAGGCCACAAGCCACGGATTCGGAGGAAGCAACGCAGGATATTGTTTTCAGGGCTCATTGGGTAGCCTAATCCCAAGCACATCCTGAAAGATGGAAAGCTTTTGAGCTGCGGCCCTGAAAGCACAGCATGTTTTCTCAGCGTACGCAGCAAAACGCTACGTCGGGGATTGTCGGCTGATTTGCGGGGATTGTCGCCTGATTTGCGGGGATTGTCGCCTGAGATTTTGGCATGTAATTGCGCCTTTCAAGCTTGTATCTGTGATGCCGAGTCTGCACACGTACCTCGACAGCAGATCTTTGCATCCAGAACTTCCTAGAAGCAACAGCGACTGCAAACAAAGTAGAAGTCCGTTGCTTTACCTGATCAACTTATCTTCCAGTGGGTTTGGCCTCGACCGGAAGAAAAAGGGGAGCCCAAATTCTCTTGTCAAAAACCTGGGTTGAAAGAGCCAAGACGCTGCAATCGGTCGGATCATCATTGGCCCAGTGATAGCAAATTCCATGCCCCAGTTTTCACAAACTGCTAAAGCCTACAAATACTTCAAAAGGGAATTTCGGCCCGCAGTCTAAAATTCCCGTCCAAGCGGGGGATAGTCGACTATTCCGCTTCAGACCGTTATTCCAGCCCGAAGGGGGGATGCAGGTATAGGGGTTCAGGAGGCGGTGGACCGCCGGAAATCCAGGGGGCCACTTAGGGATCTGACGGGGTTTGAGGGGCTTTGGTTGAGGGTTTCGGGTTCACGGTTTAGGGGGTTTAGGGTTTAGGGTTTAGGGTTTAGGGTTTAGGGTCAGTCTTGCCTACGAAGCTCCCCAAATCGGACGCCCCCACCACTTGCTATCCGCCCCAAGAGCGAGAAAAAGCAGCACGGAAGCCCATCCCCCTGGTTCTTAGTAGGGAATGGGGGAGGTTTAGGTGCCCTACATAAGTACGAAGAAGACTCGGAAGAGTGCGCCCTCAAAATTGTGTAGGTGATGCTTCCCCAAAATAGGTGGTGGGCTTCAGAATTCCGAGATCAGGGGTACCCTCGCCAAGACTTCGAGGTTTAGGGTTTAGGGTTTAGGGTTTAGGGTTTAGGGTTTAGGGTCTAAGGTTTAGGGTTTAGGAGTGCTGTCACTGTATTCCCTACTCAGAACCAGCAAGGCCAAGAGCCAGCGACGCCGAAAACTCCAGGATCCCCTCGATTAGGGTTTAGGGTTTAGGGTTTAGGTTTTGGGGTTTAGGGTTTAGGGTTTAGGGACAACCCTGAATCTCGGAAGCCCTCGAAACCGTAAACCCTCAATGATGGGCAAATTCGGTTCCCTCTTTGGCCCCCTATACAGAATACGGCCCTTATAACAAGGAACCCCAGAAAACGACACCCTAACCCTAAACTTCCTAAATCCTCAAACCTGAAACCCCACACTAATTCAGAGAAGTACTTCCATCCTGAACGCCAAATACAAAGCCTGATGTCGCTATTCGCGCCTCGATACAGTCCGCCTGCAAGCTCGTTCATCTTTCCAGGCCTTAGGTATAGGTTTAACCCTAAACCCTAAACCCTAAACCCTAAAACCCTAAACCCAAGACCCTAAACCGGCTTGTGGGATTACCGGGAAAGTTTAGGTTTCCCTCCCACGAAGCACGCGCTGGCCCCAAAGAATGCCATGTGTCAGAGCATGGATTTGGGGGTGGGGGGGGGGGGGGGGGTTTGGGTTTAGGGTTTAGGGTTTGGGGTTTGGGGTTTAGGGTTTAGGGTGCCCTGCAAAACCTAAATGCTAAACCTCAAGCCCTCAGCCCCAAACCTCAAGCCCTAAGCCCTAAGCCCGACCAGCTCTATCAACCCTTTATGCCCTATAAGCCTTGAACCCTAAACCATAAGCCCTAAACCATAAACCCTAAGCCCCCAAGCCCTGAGCCCGAAACCCTAAGCCCTAAACCCCTAAATCCTAAACCCTATAAGCCCTAAACCCTAAAACCCTAAAACCCTAAAACCCTAAAACCCTAAAACCCTAAAACCCTAAAACCCTAAACCCCTAAACCCTAAACCCCAACCCCCCCCCCCCCCCAAAAAAAAAAAAAAAAAAAAAAACTTCAAAAAAGGCGCTGCTGGGCTCCCGGCCTTATCGCGCTCACACCGCGCAGGGCCCTACGGCACTTGTCAGCTGCAGCCGAAAGGCCAGCAGAGGTTGCGGGGTGTAGGGTTTAGGGTTTAGGGTTTCGGGTTTAGGGTTTAGGGCTACCCTGAACCCGAACAGATCTCTTGCCATGCAGCTTCCAGCCCTATAGCTCCTAAACCCCCAAACTGCCAGTCTGAAGCGCGTTACCGCTTCCACCCCTGTCACCGCAATCCTTGGCCGTGGGGTTTGCAAAACGAGCTTCAGGGTTACGGGTTTAGGTTTAGGGTTTACGCGTTTAGGGTTTCAGGGTTTTAGGGTAGCCCTAAACGGTTTAGGGTTCAGGATTTCAGGGGTTAGGGTTTTAGGAAGTAGGGTGTTGGGCCTTTAGGGTTTTAGGGGTTTAGGGTTTTCATCTATGTTCCGAATCCCTGGATGGGGGTTTACGAAACAAGCCCTAATATAGCCCCAAATAGTAGGATTCCCTTAAAATAAGGACCCCCTAATTTCGCAATCCCTAAATGGCTTAAAGCCATAATCCTTCAGCTTCAGGCGGTGTGAAGCTAGCTCTCTAGGCTTGCGACATCGAACCCTAAACCCTAAATCTTAAACCTTAAACCCCCAAACCCTAATTTTCGGGTGCAGGGCGCTTTGGGGATGGAGTTCCGCCTGGTCTGGGGCCCTTCGGGAGGCTGGATCTGACTTGTTGGCCTGCAGCCCAACACCCAGAGACTCTAATACCCCTTAATGTAGGGCTGCTCCTCAGAATGTAAGAGGGTTCCTTATATGGTTTAAGGAATGTTCCTAGCCAAGGGGTATTGGAGTCCCTGGGAAGCAACAGGTGGTCAGAAAACTGAGGGCGCTTTCTTGATGTCTGCCTCTCATAACTCTCAAAGCCCTCAGCCCTTGACTAAGGGGCATTCCAGACCCTATACGACGCAACTAACTCACGCCCAAACCCTCAACCCGCAACCTTGCCTGAAACGATACTGTACAATCTATGTTGCACAACGCGAAAACCCTAAACCCAAAAACCCCACCCATTTTCAACAGCATCGACTGCGGCATGTCTTTTGATTTTGCAGCGAGAGACTGGTCGGGAGCCGCAGTGGGTTTAGGGTTTAGGGTCTAGGGCTGAGGGTTTAGGGTTTAGAAAATGATACCCCACGGCTACGGAGTCTACCTTTCAAAAAATAAGGGTCCTTTATGCGAACACATGCTTCCTTACCGAAGGGTTTTGGACTCAGGCTTAGATGGGGTTGGGTCTCAGGGGGGAGCGAGTCTCGATGTCTTCAGCTCGGGCGCCTGCCATTGTAAGGGTAGTTTCATGGGCCCTTCATATGGCCCCTTACTCGTACCTTCTTTAAAGGGTTTTGAAGTCTGGGCCCTTGGGTTTTTGGAGCGTATATAGCGGGTACATAAGGGGTGCCGATGTAAGGAAGGGTCCAAAAAGAAGGACCACGTAACTCCCCTTAGAGCCATAATGGTACACGTACCATGGGTTAGGGGACTAGTAGCCCTCCGCGATACCCCCTACACCCGCTACGTAACCCTAAACCCCAAACGGAGGCCTCTTTGGGCCACATGTTTGTTGGAGTCGGGGCAGATAGGATGGGAGTATGGTATAGGTTCCCATATCTCCAGCAAGGCGGATCTCTCCGGCGACCGCCATGGTCTTCATGGGTGCTCGTTCGCCTCGAAGTCGCCTGATGATCTGAAGGGCTTCGAATCCCTCCGCCTAAGCCCTAAACCCCAAACCCTAAACCCTAACCTTCAACCCTAAACCCTGCACTGGGTCTGTGAAAGAATCCTCTCTAGTCTCGAACTTTGCGGGATTCTTCCTTCGAACTGAGAGTCCGTCTTTGAGGACGCGGGGTTGATGATATAGGAGCCTTAATAGTTAGAATAGGGTTTTGGGGGGGCCATTGTAGAAATATGCAGGGACCATAAGGGAATAGTACTAGTAATTATTCCGACCTCTACAGTAGGCTGATCAGGTTGGCTTCGCATGAATGCGACCGTTCTGCAGCGACCCACACAAGTAACAGCGTTGTGAGTCCATCGTAGCTGAAGAGGCGACGGACCGGCCCAAGCTCTCCCGGAAGGCACGTGCGTCTTTGGGTGATCTCAACTCGAACTCGCCAGCAATTCTCTCTGCCTCTTTCTTCCAGGCAACCGCCACCTCTTTCCTTGCAATGCACCGATTGAAATCGCCGGAAGGCGCTCTTGTCCAGGCTTCCCCGGGTCTGCTTGCTAGGGTACCTTCTTGGGGTCCTCAATTGTAAGGGAATCCTACTATCTGGAGGTCCATTACAGGGGTCCCTTATTTTCGTTATAACAAAGCCATATAGGTGCACTAAGGGCTCTGCAGCCGATCAGCCCCTGCCTGAATCCCAAGAAGCGGGATTACGAGGGCGCAGGAGTCCACACAAAGAGCCCTAGAGCTTACCGAATATTCAGGATCCCGATAAGCATCCCTCTACGGTTTTAAGGGCGTGTAGGGTTTAGGGTTTAGGGTTTAGGGTTTAGGGTTTAGGGTTTAGGGTTTAGGGTTTAGGGTTTAGGGTTTAGGGTTTAGGGTTTAGGGTTTAGGGTTTAGGGTTTAGGGTTTAGGGCTCTCTGCTTCATGCCTACGATCCTAAAGAAGGCTTTGCGGATAAGAAGACTTGCGGATGCCCTCAGTTTGTTTGTCGTCTTGAAGTACCCAGAGAGCCCAAAAAACCCTCACTTTTCAAGTATGCCTTAAATCACAGCGACAAGGGAGGTGACCCCCCCCCCCCCAGCATAGTACTCCAGTCATGACCAGAAATTCCTCAAGTAACAGGGAAGCCCCAACCCTACAAACCTCATCTATAAGTCCCCAAAGCCAAAACCTCTAAGCTTCGATCACCCCAACCCTAAACCCCCTAAATCCCAAACCCTAAACCCTAAACCCTAAACCCTAAATCCTGAACCACTTCTAGCTTGCCACAAGTCACCAGCATGAGTTTGGGCTCGAAGTCCGTTGCTCACCTCCATCGCCAAGTCGACCGGGCAACTTCCTGCACGAGATCAGGGCTTAGCGTTTAGGGCTTAGGGCTTTAGGGTTTTAGGGTTTAGGGTTTAGGGTTCAGGGTTTAGGGTTTAGGGTCTAGGGGTTAGGGTTTAGGGTTTAGGGTTCAGGGTACCCGAAGGACATGGATTCGCCTTTGCCAGAGCATGTCAATGTCAACAAGAAAGGGGCGGTTGCAGAACGCGGAGAAGGAATATAGCGGTAGACGTCACTTCAGCCGCTAGCTCTGGCAGGTGCAGTTCTGCCGGAAAATCGGTCCAAGAAGAGAGAAGAAGTTTGGGAGCTTGGGGTTTAGGGTTTAGGTTTAGGGCCGAGAAGTTCTGCGGAGGCATACGATAGACATGCTGCTTGATGTTGGAGCGTATGCTTCTCCATACCCAAATGTAGACCCATTCCCTTTATGCCCAAAAGCTTTAAGGGCCCTGGTAGTGGGGTCCCCCCGCCCGCCCCCCCGCCCAAAGCAGTGCGGTTGTGGGCTTAGGGCTTAGGGCTTAGGGCGTAGGGCTTAGGGTTTAGGGTTCAGGGTTAAGGGTTAAGGGTTTAGGGTTCATGGTTCAGGGTTCAGCACGCCAGCTCACAAAGCCTTATACTTGGAAACCCTTTTTGCTTGACTTCTTAAGTCTGTTTAGTGTCCCTGTAAACCCTTGAAATAAACATCCCCATAGCCCACCTTACTAACCCTACTTACTAAGTCAAGAGGCCTTTCTCCAAGCATAAAAGCCCTAAACCCTAAACCCTGAACCCTGAACCCTAAAACCTATGCGCCTCCAGTGAGGCCTTAGGCTCCACGTCATCAGGAGTCGCCGCTGTTTGTCGCACTCCTTGCCGTTAGGGCTGCGAGAAGGCTCGGGGAGGTTTGGAGTTTAGGGCTTGGGCACCTAAACCCTTAAACCCAAAACCAGTTTGGGCTAAGGTTGAGGGCTCAGGGCTTGGGACCCTAAATCCTAAGCCCTAAATCAACTTGGGCCCACTTAAGGTTTAGGATTTAGGGCTTTTCGGGCCGGTGTTTAGGGTTTTTCGGGGTTAAGGTAGTCTGAAGTAGGGGAATAAATATTATAAGTAGGGTTCCCAGCGACTCCAATACTGAAGAATATGTCTTCAACCATGAATTGAACCCTCTTATGTTTTCAGGAATATTCCGGAATTCAGGGCATTGGAGTCCCTGAGTTAGAGGTATGGCAACTCTACTTACAACCCTACTTGTACCTACTCAAGCGAACCTCCTTTCTGGGTAAGCCCCCTGACCACTGAGCCCCTGAGCCCCTGAGCCCCCTGAGCCCCTGAGCCCTTGAGCCCCTGAGCCCCTGAGCCCCTGAGCCCCTGAGCCCCTGAGCCCCTGAGCCCTAAACCCTAAACCCTAAACCCTAAACCCTAAACCCTAAACCCTAAGCCCTACTTTGGGTATTCAGGGCTTGGTCTTTTGGGGTTCAGGGCAACTTTTGTTCGGCTGCAGGGCTCCTGGGTTCTAAGGCGTGAGGAAGGGGGTTGAACATTAGGTCTTAGAGCCGGTTTAGGCTAAACCCTAAACCCTAAATCCTAAACCCTCAACCCTAAAGTTTAGGGTTTAGGTCATAGGGTTTAGGGTTTAGGCTTTCCTAGGCCCGAGGCTTTTGACTTGGCTCCGCTTCGGGATTTCAGAGTCTTCTGGCCTTCTTAATGGCAACTTTTAAACACCCCATGGGCACTCTCAAAACAAAGAACAGGTTCTGGAGTTTAGGCCCTTGGGCTTTATGGGGCATATAGACTCTATGACACAAGATCGTCCGAGGCAAGCTGAGGAGCCTCGTTTCGCATCCGCATGCTTGCCTCATCATGTGCCACCAGGATTCTCGCATCTTGCTCTGGCAAAAAGTTGTCCAATGGCTGTCTTGTTATTTTGCAGAACCAAAGTGCAAAATGCATCTCTGGCCTTCCGAATTGAGCTGGCGCCGATAGACGGCGTGGAGTCCAAAGGAAGGTCCTGCAGGAATTCGGACAAAGCTGCAATGGGCACCGTCGGGCGTGCCAATCCAGCCCGCACATACCAAAGTGCGGCTATCTGATTGCCCTGCTTCTCAGGCAGAATTGCGCCGATCTCCTCTTCCGCCTTCTGGCGCTTGGCACGCTGGTACGCGAGCTGCTTGCGAGCAGACTTCAACTGCACGTCTTTGCTATCATCACTACGCCCCAAGAGATCACTCGGCAGCTCCTGACAGAGCCGCTTGGCTGTCTCCCCCAGAGACATGATCCCAACAGCTCCCGGCAATCACAGTTTCTTTCCACCCCTACTTCTAGCGAAAGTAGCTTTGTGCGGCACCTCAAGCACGTGACGTGGGACATGGATGTGAACCCAGGCGACCTACGCAATGGAACTTGCACGTTCATGCAACACCATCGGGCGCTACTACCAGAGGCTTTGCCTAAAGGAAGCCCCCATGAAGAACAACCTAAATAGAGGTTCCCCAAATTTAGGAGCCCACATGAAAGGCACAATGTAACTACCATAAAATGAAACGCAATTCCTAGAGAACTACCTAGGGACTCCAATACCCCTTAAGTACGGAACAATATATTCCTCAAGGAATATTCCTGAATTGCGGGGTGTTGCGTGCAGTCTGTGAATAGGATTTTTGGAGCCTTTTGTAGCATAGTTATACAGGGACCCTAAGGGAATGCTACGAGTACTTCCTCCGACCAATCTATTACACCGCGGCCCCGTCTCCTGAAGGAGAACTTGGGATTCTTCCTCGAGGGCGCGATGTTGGCGATCCGGCGCCGGCCCGCCAGCAAGTGGTTCCTGGAAGGCTTCTTAGCCAAGAATAAGGGGATTTACGATATTGGGGGTACCTTCTTGGGGTCCTTACTATAAGGGAAATCCTACTATTTGGGGCCCCTTGTTATCGTAAACCCTCATATTGTAGTAGGTGCACCCCTTTTTTGGGCGCAGGTTACTTCAGAGGGAACCTGGAACCTAAAATGTGCAGGGTTTAGGGTTTAGGGTTTAGGGTTTAGGGTCTAGGGTACCAGTGGTTTATCATGCAGGGTCTGGGGCAACCCGAATTCCTAACCCCTTTCAGGGTTTCAGTCTTCACTGGCAATCCTAAACCCTACGCACCTATGCAGCTCTGATGTTCGGAAAGCTTATCTTATCGCACCAAGTCGCCATATTTGGATGGCAACATCCACCTCCCGCGCGCGGTTGATGTCGGAGATCACTTGGTCATAGCCTTGCAGGTTTATAGGGTTTAGGGTTTAGGGTTTAGGGTTTAGGGTTTAGGGTTGGTTAAGAGCTTAATTCAGGTTGCAGATGCGTGGGAACACCATTCATGTTTCGAGGCATTGAGGGGAGAGGAGGGAAAGGTTGAAGGGGTTGTAGCATCTAATCGTTACATAAAGACACGGAGAAATATGGGGCTATATAGAGAGGAATAGGTATAAGAATCTTCTCATCATCGTAAGGCAATCAGCCATTCCAGTGGATCAATTCTGAAAATCTGAAAAAACCTTAAACGAACATGTTTTTTCCTAAGCTCTAAACCCTCAACCCTAAACCCTGAACCGGAATCCCTAAACCTAAACCCTCTCATCCCAAGAAACTTGTTGAAAGGATCCCGGAGCAGGGCCGCAAGATCTTTCACCTGGGCCCAACCTACAATGACCCTTCGTCACCACCAGACCCTAAGCTGAGGATGTTCCCCCTTATAGCAACAATCCTTTGTAGGGACTATCGTGCCCCCTATTATAATCCCAATCAAGGACTGTTAGTATAAGGGGGAGCATCCCAAACCCTAAACCCTAAACCCAAAACCCTAAACCCTAAAAACCCTAAACACCCTGAACCCTAAACCCTTAAACTCTAAACTCTAAACCCCTGGACTCGCCACGTGCCATGCGGCTGATGTCCAAGATGTTGGCGAGGCTGAAGGAGGCGCAGTCCTGCAAGACCCCGAGGCATACCTACTTGAAGGTTCATGGGACTTACAAACCACTTATAACTGGGCTCATAACCCTACTGATAATTGGGATAACCCCTTTTAGGCCCTTTAAGGGTATTATAGGAACCAAGTAGACCCGGGAGGAACCTAGGCATGAGAAGGATACCCTTTTTGGTTTTAAGGGGATTCTGAGGGAACCCCAACCCTAAACCCTAAACCCTAAACCCTAAACCCTAAACCCTAAACCCTAAACCCTAAACCCTAAACCCTAAACCCTAAACCCTAAACCCTAACCCTAAAAAAAAAAGGGGTCTACTCCCGGTCCTAGCATAATTACTCCCCGTAGACTCCGCAGGTTCGTGTGAGCCACGAAAACCCTACATCCCAAACCCCAGTGTAGCAGACGGGAATGGAACCTACGCCTTCAACCCTGAGTCATTATAAGCCCCTAAACCCAAGCCCCTGACAACAAAAAGGAACAAGGGCTTTCTCCAAATAGCGGTTTGGCGGGAGTTCCTTCCACGACACGGGACCTCACTGACTCACATAGGGATCAAATCTTAGAGAACAGCCCCATCACCGTGGTCGTTTGTGTTGTTGATTCTGTTGATATTTCCAGCGCGCTAAGCTTGATGGTTTTTTGCCGCCCGCCTAGCCAGCGCGCTTTTGTAAAGCCTTCAGCCGAAGGAAATTCTCTCTGACACCAAGACGCAGCCCCCAAAAGTCCCCTTTCCCCAACCCTAAACCCTAAACCTAAACCCCAAACCCGAAACCCTCAACCCTAAACCCTAGCTGTAAACAAACTTTTCCATTCTCGTGACCCAAGCAAACCCGACCGCCATCCGTGGGGCCCCCACCCCCTCACACGGCCCAAAGCAGTAAAAAAAAGTGAAACACAGTAAGCCCAAGCCCTACATCCCACACCCCTAACACCCTAAACCAACACCCGAAACCAAGAGTCCAAGATACTAAAACCCAAAAGTCTACACTCCAAACATCTAAACCGTAAGCCCTAAGGCCCCAAACGCCGCACGCCCAAAACCCGGAATCCCAAGCCCTAAACCCTCCCCCTTTCACAGTCCCGCTCGAGGCCATCTTCGGCTTTCAGGAGCTCCTTGGCGTCGGAAGATTTGGGGGATTTAGGGGGTGCTTCGGGGGAATGGGCTGCCTTTATGGTTCTTACTGCGTTTGGGATTTAGGGGGGAACTAAGGTATGTATAGCGCCTAGAACGGTTTAAGGTGTGCTAGGGCTTAGCGCTCATGGTAGGTCCTAGCGTGGGTAAGTCTCCACAGTGAGCCGCCCCGGAGTGCATGGGGTGAAGTCACTGGTGTATGTTCTCAGCACGAACTCGCCCGTCATTTGCTTGTGACTCAAGGACTCATGGGTTCCTAAACCTTAAACCCTAAACCCTAAGCCCTAAACCCTAAACCCTAAAGCAACTCATCCACCTCTTAGCGTCGGGCTATAGGGGTTTAGAGGTGTAGGGCATGTAGGGTCCTCGATTCTTCGGGGCCTTCAGGGTCTCAATCGCGGCGCTTAGGGGTCTTATATAAGGTTTAGGAAAGCTTTATGGAGAGACCGCATCCCTAAACCCTTAACCCTAAACCCTAGATCCTAAACCCTAAAACCTAAATCCTAAACCCTAAGCCCCTAAAGCAAGCAAGCAGCAGCCAGATGCTCTACGGCACCCGATTCCGTCAGCCGAGACTGGGCCCAGGGGCGGGGCTCAGGGTCTGTTTTGGGGCCCGAAATAGGGGATCCGAAGTATGGGCCCTTAATTTGGGTTTGCAACCCTTATGCACACTACGCATGAAGCCATCAGAGGGGCCAATGGTTCCAACCTTAGACTAAACCGTAAACCCGGGTTTAGGTCGGGAGAAGGGGCTTAGGGCTTGAGGATTCTGCAGCTTTGAGCATAAGCCCCAAACACCCCGAATCCTACAAGGTGACAACCTAAGACTCTACACCCTAAACCCTAAACCCTAAATGGTTCTGAAGCTAAGAGCTTTAGCATCGAGGGCATTAGGCATGCTGGGTCACTGTGAGGCCATGGCCTAAGGCCTTCTGACTGCGTGTTTGGTCCCAAGCCCCTACCCCCGGAACCCTAAACCCTAAACTCTAAACCCTAAACTGTGGAGGTCCTGATTAGAGGGCCTCAGGCAATACTTGGCCTCGGGATGTGGGGATCGAGACCTCGGGAGTTACATGAGGACGTGCAGTTTTGTTTACTGTGGCAAAGAAGTCCACAAGTCAACAGCGCTAAAGTGTAAACACGCAACGAAAATACGTAAAGCAAGCAGATGGAGATGTACGTAGGTGAACAAGACAAGCACATAAGCAAGTATGCGAAAATACATACATAGACGCATGCAAATATGGTTGCGAAGCATCTGTATGCATCTATATCTACATCACATCTATATGTAAGTAGACACAAGTATATGCAGATTGGGAAGGTTGCAGCCTTCGGGTGTTCGAGCCGTTTAGGGTTCCCTGTGAAGAGAGGCGACCTAAACCTGCTGAGCCCTCTCAACCCTATAAACCCTAAACCCCAAACCCTAGGGCCAAACCCTAAACCCTAAACCCTCAACCCTAAACCAAAAGCACGGCAGCTGCCTGGTTCTCCGGATGGCCTTTGGCGAGTTGACCCAGCGCCACTGCTGCCTGCCAAGGGGTACCCAGGGTTAGGGTTTAGGGTTTAGGGTTTAGGATTTAGGGTTAGCCCAAAACCCCCTCAACTAAGGAGTACATAGACTTTTCTTCTAACTGATGCTGGTGATGTACGCAAGACTTTAGGGTTTAGGGTTAAACTACATAGGGATCCTTTGAATGATGAAAGGGATATTCCCTAGTAACTCGGGTGTATTGGTCTCGCAAACACTGAAGGAGCCCATGCATTTGCTGTACCAGCGCCTGAACCCTAAACCCTAAACCCTAAAAACCTAAACCCTAAACCCTAAACCCTGAACCCTGAACCCTAAACCCCAAACCTTACTTCCCATCGACAGGCAGAAAGGCCTGCGTCCGCTCCTCGGCCGTCTCCGCCACCCTGAAAGGTCAGCCAAAACCAAAAACATGACTCCAAGGAGGTTTGGGGTTTAGAGTTTAAGGCTTGTAGGTTTTGGGGGTGTTCTGCTTCAGGTTTAGGACAGTGACACGACATCCCTTCACGACAGATTCCCTAGATGTAGCTGGCTGACGGTCCGTGCATCGACTGACAGAGAGCACTGCGGAGCTAAAAAAAAAAACTGCGGTGGCAGATGAGAACCCTAACTGACTGGCCCGAACTTAGGGTTTAGGGTTTAGGGTTGAAGGTTTAGGGTTTAGGGTTTAGGGTTCCTGCTCATGGGCCCAACATAAGGAGCGTTGCAGATCTTGTCAGGTGTTTGAACTGCTTTGCGGACTTTTGGACGCTCGTGCACTCGTGTTGTCCCCAACCCTCATCTGAGAGCAGAAAACAGAATATTCACCATGCCCCAAGGCAAGGCCTACAAATAGATGCAAAGTCCTCATCACACACACACATACCCTGCAATGTAACCGGTGATGTAACCTCTAAGCATGCAAACACAAGTGAACGGGGGCTCGAGTGGCATCAAAAGCCGTTGTTTGGTGACCCCATGAAGCGTAATTACTATCTGGGGTTGCATGCTTTTCCTTCCTTTATTTGCGGATCTCCTTCCTTGATTAATCATGGGTTCCCCTACTACCCCCTTCTATACTACCCCCCCTAGGTTCCCCCCTTAAATAACCTTAATTAGGCTTAATTAACCCTAAATAGCCCTAATTTTGGGGGAAACCTAGGGGGGTAGAAAAGAGGGGGGTGCTAGGGGAACCCATATCCAGGAGAATGGGAGCTTGCGCATGCTGGGCTGCGGCGCTCTTCGGTTTAGGGTTTAGGGTTTAGGGTTTAGGGTTTAGGGTTTAGGGGTTAGGGGTTAGGGGTTTAGGGTTAGCAGGGTTTAGGGGTTTAGGGATGTAGGGGTTTAGGGTTTTTAGGGCTGAGGGTTCCTTTTCCCTTAATGCAGACGGCTAGAGTACCGAGTCAACATGTAGTACATGGATGAGGGGCGTGACATTCACACATGAATCCGACTGCACTGGATCAGCTGGAAGACCCAAAACAGAATGCCAAAACCACAACTCTCTCGGAGCACACCCACCCTATAAACCAAAAAACCCTACACTTTAAACCCTAAACCCTAAACCCTAAACCCGAAACTTGAAACCCGAAACCCGAAACCCGAAACCCGAAACCCGAAACCCTAAACCCTAAACCCTAAACCCTAAACCCGAAAACCTAAACCCTAAACCCGAAACCCTAAACCCCAAACCCTAAACCCCAAACCCTAAACCCTAAACCCGAAACCCTAAACCCCAAACCCTAAACCCTAAACCCACAAC